ATATAGAGGGAAATTTAATGTTTATCTGTAAGCAAAAATGAATTATTGCTAACGAAAAACGATTCTGAACAGAGCTATATGTTATATTACAGTAAAATAAATATCATACTGAAAGAATTTGTATGGACCAGTAACTAGATTTGTTCTTCATAATTTTTACTAAAACAATTTTCGTCAAAATATTAATACAATTTTATTTTGTTCTGACCATAAAATACAACTTATGATTAACCTCCTATTTAATTTTCAAGCATTTCTGTTTTGTATAACAATTTTATTCACAAAGTACGTATCAAATGAAAATGGGAGATGGCCCCATCGCCCTCCCCTTTAGGGATGTGTCTATCTTTTGTACTATGTCATTGTATCGAATTAATTTACAAGTATCAAAATTAATACGAAACTATCGAATAATTCGAATAGTCCTATATCATAGCGCCTATTACTAAATTCAAGTACATAATTATACTATAATAACACAAAATGAGTAGGTATTTTTTTATTTACTTTTGTTTGAAAATAATATTGTTGAAGTTTAGCATGTTTGCGTCAAATATATTTTGCGTGTCCAGTGCGGCCACCGAATTGAGAACATTGACCTCATACTCGCATTCCTACTGTAAAAAAAAAAAAAACATATTCCTAGTTGTAAAACCACGTAGCGTTATTTTATTACGATTATTTCGGCGGTTTCTGTTGGATCAGAGACGTGGTACGGGGATTACGGTTCTGGGTGGATGTCCACCAGGGAGCGTAAGTAGTACAGGATACATTACGTGGGCCAATAGTATTATTAAATCACCGTATTTCTCACGAATTTCTTTAATCATAAGATTACCGTTGTTAACGACAATAATGTAGCGTTGCCCTATAGGTCTACGGATCGTCTTGATAGGGTCCTAAGACGGTTTTAGTAGGAGACGTAATTTGTGGAGACGACGTTGTCCAGGGGCAGATGGCACCGCCGTAATATACTTAACACTAGCATAGAAAATTACCGATTTGTGCATTGCTCGTACTTTTGTTATATAAACGCAGCTTCCTCCATACTAATCCTTTCGAACAGAAATTATATCATACGTATTGAAAAAAATTACAGTATTAAAATAATATCAGGACGATATTATATCATGTGTTCGATCAATAGATAGCGTCGCGATCGCAAACTTATTTTGAGGCCTTTGGCTACTATTATAGTGTCCAGAGCCCTTTAGTGAGTCAGATTCGTGATTTTTGATCTTGATTATAAAAGCATCGGTATCCCCCTTTGGTGATATGTAACTTGGTCGTTGAGAAAGGCACATTTTTAGTTGAGTTTTTAACCACTACTATTAAGGAGCGCTTTGAATAAATTGTACATACGATACGTAAAATATCTAGGAGTTGGAAAATAACTACTGCATCTTTTATAAAAAATCCACATTGCTTCAGTATTCTAATATCTCATAGTATCTGCTACATGAATTCGGATTAGGTTGGTATAATATTGTATTCGTTTTAGGAACAGCGGTTAAAATAGGTACTATAAAACGTTTCTCTGTATATAAGCAATCGTGAAAAAATCGGTGTCTCCCGACTGTGGTTGAAGTGGAGTTCTCCGCCAGGAGAGCCACCTACAATTGGCGTCCACCGATACAGTTGGTCGGTGGTGTGCGGGGTCAGAGGGGTTTGGGAACTCAGAAATCTGTTAAATAGGAATTCAGCGGACAGTGGACACTCATGATGCAGTTGTGGTGGACAGCGAAAGGTATTTCTACTGTCCTCGTTCGATGGAACTAGGCCACTGCAAACGTGGGTCACCTGAGAGTAGACGGTTACTGATAGAATTTATGAATATTAAAAAATTGTTAATTTATAATATTCGTCCTGCATATCATTACAATAAAAATCGTAAACACTCGGCGGTGAAATTCTTCATAGGTAATCGTCAGTTCTTCATTACAACTGCACCAAAATGTGAAGTTTTGATAAATTTCCTATTGGACCCGTTTACAATGGTATACATTTCTAGATTCTGAGCGGAATAAGGAATGAACTAGTATTACAATGATGTTTAATTTTTTTCTCTGAACAACTTTTCCACCAGAAATTTTGCTCAGATTTTGTGTAGCGCCTTTATTGAAATAAAATTTTGTGGGGTAATACTTTAGGGAGGTTAATTAACTTGACCCTTTCCAGAGGTTTTCATAATAAATGGGAAAAACCGAGGAAATTTACGAAATGTATTATGTTAAAATCGTAAATATTCAGCCTTTCAAAACATGTATAATCGTACTCCACTTAGAATAGATTTTCGTTAGCAATAATTAATTATTGTAGATATACATGAAATTTCCTCTCCACATTCCCAATTTCTTACCTATGACGGTGTCCCACCCATCGTGCGAAGTATGTCATTTTTTTTTTTCTTATCTTCAAAAAGTCTTTTTTCTTTAATGAAATTAATTAAATGATTTTTATCCATTTTATTGTTCTTTCTATAATTGGTATAGAAAATATTATTAGTGTAAATAAACACAATTAAATCAAATAAAGTTTTAATTTAAAGGTTAAGTTATTAAAAATAGGACTCAATAAAATGAACTTAAATTCAGAGTTCCTTAATTGTCATAATACGATATAACAAAAAAAAAAAAAAAAGACTCAAATATTAGCAAATTTAGTTTTTCAAATCTTACCAATTAAATCGGTTTTTAATCACTCTGAATCTAAAAAAAACATAACATATGTAGGATAGGTTCGATGAAAAATTCAAATATTTTTCTAGAATCACATTTTACTTCATTGGAATTGTCACAAACAGAATCTATGTAAAAAGTATTCAAAATCTTGTGACAACAAAACGTACAATACATATTTGTCGTTAATGTGTATTGTTTTAAAATATTAATTTTTTTCATGGAACATGTTTTGCCTGAAAAAAGTTAATTTTATGATTGCGATTATAGAAGCAGATGTTAGATTTTCTACAATTTATTTTTGCTACATACATAGTGAAATATCAAGTATATGTAATATTTTGTCAATAAAAATACTTTTAGAAATAATACAATTATTAAAAAAAAAATATATTCATTAAAATAATACTTCCAAACAACAATATCATTGTTTGATGTAATAATTTGTTTAGCAAAATAATAATATACATTTTTTTTGACAACAATTTGCAAACAATATCTATACTTTAAAACACAATAAAAACAATATTATCATATGAAAAAAAGGAACACAAATGAAAGAAATATAAAATACTATAAATTATTGTTACATAGCAAAAACCAGACAGTAGGTAACTAATTAAAAAGTCAAGTTATAAGTTACTATGTTCCCAAAAATTATAATTTTTATAGTAGAAAAAGAAACAGGATGTTTGAAAATAACTTAATTATTTTAATAAATAATTTTAGCTTCACTTTTGTCATATTTATTATTAATTTTTTGATAAATTAATATTAATACAATTTTATAATAGTTTTTAAATTTGATATGTGGCTATAATTTCTAAACAATAAAAACTCTAATTTCGTATATAATTTTGAAAGAATTCAATAACTTATCATATTATAAAATAATTATGCGTAAAAACCATTAAATCATACAGTTATGACCGATTTCCAATTTATTTTTAACTGTGTAATTTTGTTTGTTACAACTATTAAATATTATATCAGCATTTACTGCAGTCAAATGTCGGATACCAATAAATTGTTCAATATGCTTACATAAATCTTCATCAAATTAGCGTAGTGCCACAGACATGTGTTCATAGTGTACCATGTCACTGGTTTCATCGGCTATAATTGTAACAAGATGATTATTATTTTTTTTTTTAATAGTTTGTTTCATTATATTGTTGATATAATATGTTAATAAATCATTTTGTAGATGGTTGCTTAAGTACTTCGCATTTTGTGGTAGTTTTCCAAATGTTTCTGTAAATTGAAAATTGTTTCAAAATGTACACAATATCTTAAAATAAACCCTTTCATGCATGGGAATTATTTTCTAAGTATCAATGAAATGGTTTGCCACATTTAGTTAAACACTCTAATATCTATCAATCGATGTATGTTGTTTTGATTATGCAAGCACTGCTTTTCTCTTTCACTAATAGCTACTGCTCTAGATTCATCCAAGGTAACATCAATTGATTTAAAATTTAAAAAGTTATGGTTCGCTGTTATGCTAAAATTACGAGCGATTGCATTTTAGTGGAAGTATTCTAATTTTTAAAACCTTTTTGTGAAAAAGCAAAATCTACTTCTCTGGGATTTAACCCTGTAGCTGTATTAAACATAAGGCATACGAAACAAAATACTCGATCAAGTTTCACACTATATTCCAATCAGCTAAAATCATCATACCAGGAAATTTGTAAACTCTTTACATTATCTCTAAACTGTGTCCTGGGATACATTTTTAATTTTGGTTGGAATGGTCCTTTAAGTATCTTTGCTTTAAGTATCTTCTAGCTGAAGAGATGGTGTTGTATTTACAAGATCATCAAGGTCACATAGTGAATCTAATTAGAAGAAAAGGTATAATAATTAATATTAGTTTATGCAGTATACTAATAAAATTAAGTTACTATACAGGCAATCTATTCAAATTGTTTGAACTAATACAAAACAATAATTTTTGTAATAAACTAGCAGTTAACACTTAAAATAAAATTAATACAATCAATGATAATTATAAAGAAATATAATTATAACTTGCACAACAATTATTTTAGAACTAATCTAATAATAATAGATTCCATCTTGAACAAAAAAAATTAAGGTATAAAATAATCTATAATATTATTTATATAAAGTTGTATACAAATATTAATTATTAATTAAATATTTTTTATATGAAGATATAATAAAATATTGGACATAGATAGCAAACACCCAGATCACTGGCACCATTGTTTGATGTTATGGTATAAATACTTAATGGTGCATTAATAGTATTTGACCAATTATCATAATCCGTTTTGGGCTGCTCAACAGTAACTAGTGTTCTGTATAAATGGTATCGTTAGGATCATTATTGCCTAAATGAATAAATATTATTAGCTTAAAAGTTGCAGATAAGTATCAAATCTACCAAAAATCAATATTATTTAAATACCAAAATACCTGATAAATCAATAGGAGTATTTAATTGAGTATCGTGTTCTATTTCAAATTGTTCAACTGCATCACTAGTATTCAGTGTAAGTGGTATTGGATAATCTGGATCAATATTGCCTAAATGAATAAATATTATTAGCTTAAAAGTTACAGCTAAGTATCAACTCTACCAAAAATCAATATTATTTTAAAATATTATATAAATACTAAAATACCTGATAAATCAATAAGAGTATGTGACTGAGTATTGTGTTCTATTTCAAATTGCTCAACTGCATCACTAGTATTCAATGTGAGCGGTACTGGATAATCTGAATCAATATTGCCTAAATGAATTTAGTAATAGTACAATATATTACTGCATTTTAATTTGTATTATACATTTTTTAAATATTAACTTACCAAAATTTAATTTTGATGATTATGATGTGAAAAAATCATACAAAAAATTCCTTTTTTACATTGGTTTCTATTCATACTCGTATGCTAATATTATAATTTACAACAAAATATAATATCCATAAATAATTAATATTATTGTAATAATGTAAGTAAAATTATAGTGAAATTTTAAAAAACAAATGAACACTGATGACTGATTATAAAACAACTCAAACTCCAAGCTCAAATAAAAACTTTTGTGATAACAATTATGATAATATTGATAATTTTGTTCGAATAATGTTATCAGACTGCTCTATGGTTATTGGTTTACTGTAACTTTGCAAGGTAACGTGAATGATTATGTGATTGTCGTCGATGTGATAACACCCATAATCATTAAAATATACTTGATGCAAATCATGATTAAAGATGTTATCTAATATTATCTATATTTTATAACCGTGATGAAAATTTAAAAAAAATAACGTAGATTAATTGTAAAAATGTCTTTACGGACTACTGTTTATAATAAGGTTTATAAAATACCTCATTAAAGAGTAAAGAACAAAAAACTGCTCCGCAGACCGCAGAGGATGTATACGGATATACGGACACTGCGTTCCCGTATACGGACTGCCGGACATAACGGGGATGTGTGAAAGGATATAAGGTGTAAATTTATGTATAAAAATTTGTTAATTAACATAAAACGGTGTTTTATTTATTTTGCATGTTTGTGAAGCAATAATATATGCTTTATTTTAAAAATATTAGTAAGTACAACAAATACACTTGGCCTTTTCTTTAAATTGTTTTTTTTTTTTTATCGAAAACCTGATTTATTGGAGTTATGTAGTTCGACATTTTTATTTTGCAGTCACGTAACGAAACAAAATGGTTAGTGCTCTGGGACTGGAAACGGTTCCGGTGTCGGTGACCGGGCCCTCTCCGGTGCCCTCTCCATGACTACGGAACCAGTTTCGTTTTTCATAGCGCCGCCCGCCGTTAGCGGTGATATTTGTTCAATGTACGCGCGTCGCCGTTGCACGTGAATAAAAAATATGATAAAACGTTTAATTTAAATACCAATTCGTAATATTGTTTTTAATTTATTATTATATATTATTATTATTGGTAGTAGGTAATTAATACTATCAACCGATAGGTACGACAGTATCTACCGTATTCTATTTTATGATTAGTATGCTACCTAGGTAGGTACTTTAGGTTTTATTATTTACCAAAAAACGTAATTTAATGTTTATTTTTATATACAGTTTAATAAAGTTTAATAGGTTTTTAAATAGATTAATAGATTTTTCCTAGTTAAAAAATAGATAAGGATACGGAAATCTTTGTATCAATCATACAAAATTATATAATGTAAAAGTGGAGTCTATTACACACAGTGATCAGTGGCGTGTGTATTCATGTTTTTGCAATTATGGCTATCGTCATAATACTGTCAATCACGGCTTAATTTTCATAGACCTACAACCAGACATCAACACTTAACATTCTTTAGTGGAATCATATTAAAACTAGATAAAATATTAAAAGAATAGTGTCTCAAAATTTTTTGAAAAACAACTTGTGGAAGAATGGTGGCGTTCTATTAATCCATCAGAATAATAATTAATCCAATTACTTTTTGATATGAAGATCAATGAAAAAGCGTAGTTAAAATTTTAAATTGTTTGTATTTATAATAATTAATCTTCTGTATTTTGTTATTAGGTAACACAGTAATTTAAAATATATACATGGTAGATATTACCGTAGTTGGTAGATAATATACTAAACTAAAAATATCATTTTTGATAATATATTGAACCACCACATCGTTATTAATTAAAATATTAATAGGTATTAAATAAAAGTTTATACTAGCCACTATTAAAAATAGGTACCTATCAAAATATAAGTACTTAAGGAATTTTAAAAATGTCTTGTTAACTATTCACAAATTGTGTAGGGAATTATTTATTATTTTAAACACGTTTAGAAACGGAGAATTTTGTACTCTCGCAAAGCGATCATTCAAATGAAAAGTAGGTATCATAAGGTTAGGCTTAATTTCAATGAATAATATTAACTCAGTTAAATTACAAGTGAAATTAAAAATGACTTAACGAGTAGACAACCGTTTTAAGTAAATATGTTTTTGTTTAAAGTAGGTATCAGGGTGTTCCAATGTAAAACAGTATCTAATTTAATTAATTATTGATTATTATTAACGATATTTTGTTAAATTATCAATGTCGGGTTTATTTCGTAAATTTTAGAGCCGGCACACACCTGTTATTCAATTGGGACCCAAATATTATATAGTAAGTAGATATGTAACCTTTTATTTACAGTCGGGATCGAACTATAATATTCGGTGCAATACGATTGCACCCGTTTCACTTTTTTACCTGGGAAGACTCAACAAGATTGGGCTCATTTTACCTGTAAAGAGTTTAAAATAAGATTGCATTCCATTTAATCTTATAATATCTTATATCAATAAAAATATGATTAACAATTTTCCTTCTCAATTTTACGGGCTTAAAACTGACAACAGAATTAAATTGCTGGTTAAAAATTGTGTTTTGAAATAATTTATATGATTATATGAATATGAGTATATATATATATATATATAAAAAAAAACGTATTCCGAATTTATACGAATACGAAATATCTATATACTAATATTTTAAGTGAATAAAGTACATATAATTGAGTAATTAATTTGTATTTAATATTATTTTATATAAATCTTCATAAGATTAAACAGACTCAACCATGCTATTTTTTGGAGCGCAATCGTGTTGCGATTTAGCAGGTAAAAAGGTAAAACTGACACAATCGTGTTACAGCCATAATATTATGCAATCTATGCGACTTTTTTTTTTTTATAAAGGCTGTATTTGACGTTGATCGGTGATCTTATACGGCTGAGAAAACTGATGGCCACTATCCATTTTATTGCCCGGAAGAACATTTGATTCCGTTTCCTTTTCATTGACCAGATGTCAGTTTCCAAGAGATTATGTATAGCATTATTGTAATGCTAATGTAAACTGCTGTACAGTCCAAGGACAAATATTGGATCAAGTGTATATATATATATATATATATATAAGATTATTTTCTCTGGTCCGTATCCAGTCAATAATAATACATAATGTCACAATGTCAAAGTAAGATAATTTAAAATAAGAAAACTTCATAAATAATACGGTTTAACAGATGAATTTGGTCCCCCTTAATATATGGTAAAAAGCCCTCCCCCTTTCGCCATTTAACGTTTCCAAGATATTTCCTTATCGAAATACTATTGGTATATCGGTAAAATATGCTATAGAAAATATGAAAATATTGACCTACATCAAGAGATATCCACTGAAATTATAAAAGTACAAAATTGACTTTCAAATAGCGATTGCTCAAAAAGAATTATTTCACTGAGATAAAGAAAATAAAGAGCTTTAACGTTTTAAAGTTGGTTTGTGTTTTGAAGTTAACTATAAAAAAATATTTTTATATTTGAGCACGGCAAAATTATGAAGGGAGTAAAATTTACTTCTTACATCAGCCAATACAAAAAGATAAATATCTTCTCCTTTGCCTTCATAATAGCTATTTAGGGTCAGCTACCATTATTCTATACTCGATCCGATTGCATAAACCGGCTGCTCTTATAGCATTCTCAATATGAATGGAAAATCAATTTCGTGTTCATTTTATTGCAAAGAAGCAATTTAGGTACGGAGATTTTCAGTAAATTTTATTTTGGGCAAATTAGGGGTCGTTATAATTTATTGTACCTTAATGTTACTTACAAAATATTAAAAATAAATGTTAAGTTAAATCATCTTAATCATCACTTAAAAATGTTTAAACTTCTAAAGAGCTTGACAGAAATCAAAAATGTTAACTCTAAAATTTATTTTAACTGATACTTCGTCTATTTATGGAATTTTTAATATTGGTTGCAATTTAAAAATCTAATGTAAGTAGTGGTTTTACCCTTAAAAATAAAGGTGACAAAAAATAACATAAGTATAAAATTATAGAGCAGCTTGTTTCTTAAATATTCAAGAAAACAAATTCCGTAAAAAGTATATATTTTCCGAGATAATGAGTTTCTTATGATAGATTGATCACTCCGAATATGTTATATTATAGAAAATAATAAAATAGGCATTACATATTTTTTTTTTTAATAATATTTGTTTAATATTTTAGTAATTTTCCCGTTTTTCCTGCGTTGTTTACATATTTTCCCCCGGGTTTTCACATTTACAGGAAAAACTCTTAGGAAAATCGAAAAATGACCTCGCAAAAGTACTTTGCCAGTTAGATTTCTTTTCAGAATAAGTGCTGTCATTGTAAATCAGAGCTTAATTGTTGGTAGAAAGGTTATTTCTAGGAAAAAAGAAAGTCGAAATATTTTTCAACTAGGAGGTACCTACATTTCGTACATTTTCCGTTTTTCCAACATATTATTCTGGTTCTTCCCAGATTTTATGAAAACCGCTCGATAAATCAAAATATAACCTCCCTAAATTACCACGGAGATAAAATTTCCCTCTAGAAAATATGTTATACTTCATCTTTTATATATCAGAGTAAGATTTTTAATAGAAATATTTGCACAACAAATCGAGGGGTAATTTGCAGTTAAAATAGTTCGAGCTAGCGATGGTCTTTAGGTACACCCAAAATTTATTTGTTTTTTCCTGGTTTAAATAAAAGAGGAAAAAAATGCAAAGAACTTTTTGGAAACCTGGGTTTCTCTCGTGACTTCGTGACCCCTAGGATAACCAGAGGTAACCATTGGATCACGATAAATATTCTTTCAAAAGACAATATATAGTTATTTAACACAACATATAATATTTGCATAATATTAGAAATTCAAATGATTTCGAAACTTAGTCAGCTTAATTCTGACTTCACCATCGTTCTTAAATTGGAAATTTTCATATGTTCATGTGAAAAATAAAATACTACATTAAACTTATTTTTTTTTTTTTTTGACCACAAAGTATGACTTAATGAACCATGTGTTAAATTTTCATGTATTTCTGTATTGTCTAACAATTTTACCACACAGTATCTACCGAATAAAAATTATGTAAAAAACTCGCAAAATTAAAATGTTTATGAATAGTTTAAAAATACCTTAAAAATGTTGAAAATTTTACCACGTCTGGAAAATGTAAATATAATTTTTTTGACCAAATTTCAAGTCCATAAAATCGATTCGAATATTGTTAACTGAATTTCAACAAAAGTATTAAAACTTTTATAAAAACCTAAAAATGGTTCAAATGTTTTAAAAATATAAAAGGCGAATAAAAGTTTTCTGTCCGAATTTCAAGTCCTTGCGAATATTTTGAATCGAATTACAAAAAATAACAATATTGAATAAAAAATAAAATATTTTGCATTATTTTCTTAAATTTCCCTTTTTTCTTACGTTTTTCTCGACATTGGGAAAACTATCGGGAAAAATATAAATGATTTTTTGCAAATATCATCCCAAGAAAATTTTTTTTCAGAAAAGGGTCTACATTGTATGCGTCAGAGCAAGATTTCTGTTAGAATTTTTGTTCACAGGATAAATAAATAAAAAAACAAGTAAACATCTTGGTAATACTAATACATTTTTTGCTACACTCAGAATCTAAAACCATGAGTTGCAAACGATCAACCTGAGCGTATTAGCCGTGTTTATTCCCTATTATTATTAGTCGTATAACCGACAAATCAAACATTAAAAAAACTGACCTATAAGGGCAAAAATTCTGAAAAATTCAATGAATTTTTAACATAAAGTATGAAAGCCAGAAAATCCGAATATATAATTTTCATGTTCAGAAAAACTAGATAATTTCTACTAACCGTACAAGTGTATCCTAAGTAAAAGTTATCTTTGTTACAATCAAAAAAAATGGACATATTTCACACGATAAGTGGGCCACTATTGTAGTGGCCCAATAGAGTAAAAATAATCTCTCTAGTGGACCAATTAGATAAATTTAGACATTTCAGACAAGGAGCTACACTATATCAGAGCAAGATTTCTTTTCGAAAAGTTGTTTACAAATTTCAATTGTATTTTTTTATTAATATTTTAGTTATTTTGTTAACATTTAGCGTGTTACGTGCCAAACATTGACTTCCTACCATAATAACTTTGTTTAAATAACGGTTGTTCGTTTATGCAAGTGTATATAAAATAAACCATAGATATAATATAATTACGTCACGTGCCCATAGTGGTATCGTTTTTTACTATATCACCCAGGCGCAACGTGTTGAAACGACATTATATTATACAATATACACTTATGAAATGAAATATAATATTGTATTACATGTCCATACACACTTGAACACACAAAAAAGTAAAAAAACTGACAAAATGGGGGATAGAAACATGATATTCGAACCAACACTTTATTATATAGATTGGTGTCATTTTTTATTGGTCATTTTATCGTAGTATATAAACGCGATATTTTTATTATGGACTGGACATAACGAGTTAAAAAGTTAAATTTCAACTTAGCTTTTGTCATCATACTTTAGCTTATTTAAATTTAATTTAGTATAGCCTATTGGTTAGTAATTGCCTCGCTGCCGACAAGATATAAATGTACTCTAATACGTCCGTTCATCAATTTAATAAATTAGATCGATTAATTGGTTCATCAATTAGATTAGGGCATAAATAATACATAACACATTATATAATTTTAATATATTATATATTAGAGCAAAATTCAATATAATTTAACCAGGAGAGTTTAACACTGTCACCACGGTCACTGATCAGACTTGGGTGAAATAAATTTAAAAAGTATTCAGAATAAATAATGGAATACAAACAAAAATTAATATTCCAAAACCGTATTGGAATATTTTAATAAAAGTTTAAAGAATATTTTAAGAATACAATACATAAAAACAGAGCTGATCTGCTGAAAAATGTGACACTGTTGTAGTTGATAATTAATTGTTGAAATTGCTTTCCAAAAAAAATAAAGAGCGAAGAGAGGTTAATTATTGTGAATTTTGAACAATATTTTCAATCAAGTATCACCAAATGGAATTTTCGTATCTTTAATAGTAATGTGTGAAAAATAGGTTTATTTTTACTATTCGAAATAGTGTCTTCGAGAAAAAAATAAAGCACGCCACTTATTGTAAAAATAAACCACTCTATACCAAGAGTGACGAAAAGTATTTGTTCATAAGGGATAAAATATTTCAAAATCTAAATCTAAATCTAATTAAATTTAAGTGACAAGCTTATAGGACAATAATATCCTAAGTTTAATTAATAATTAAAATGTAATATAATATACAAATTTTTTTAATTATCTTTATTTTCAGTAAACATACAATAAACATATTCTGTACTTTAAAATTGTATAGAATCAATATGTATTGATAGGCTATTATTATATGATAATGATATTTACGTGATAAAACCACAATTTTTAAAAATACAAAAAATATGTAAATAAATTATATTTTAGCAAAATAATACTAAGACAAATCAAAATTATTTATCAAATGAAATTATAAATTTATTAGTTAAGTTATTTTCGAACATTATAAATAGTTTTTTTTTTTTTTACCAGTTAAATAAAAGTAATTTATTACTTGACTTATTATTTTTAAATTGATAACTGCTTAATAAACTACTCAGTTTGACTTTTGTACATTGATTTTGGCTTTTTTTTCTAACTTAACTTATTTTAAAATTAAATCAATAATTAACGAGTTAATTATATCACGTTATTTAATTTAAATGTAGTTTTATTTAAACGCAACAATAAATAATTTTAAAATCTACACATTATAAATCAAATTATTATCGTAAAAGTGACCGTGTAAATTGTAATTATTTCGCGTTTACAATTATTTATTTACATTAATGTATTTATATACCTGGGTAGCTCAATAGATAATACCAGATGAGCTTAGGTATTTAATCCGGGGGTTCGAAACCTTGTTTGGGCAGTAATTTATTTTTTAAATTTAGCATTTTCCTTTCTATTCAAAAACATTTGCGATCTATTCTCATAATATATAATAGGAACATAGGAGTTTAATATTTAATCTTTTATTATAGTATCTACTGTATTCTAAAATATTTTTTTTATTTTTTTATAAACTCAAGTACCAAAGTATTTTCTATCAACTGAACTATGAGTTAATGGATTATTCATTAATATACCCTACCTTGTAATTATTATATAAGTCAAGATTTAAACAATTATAAATTTTTCTATAGGCTAAATATAACATTCCATTAAACTATTAATATTTTGACGTTTTCACGGTTCAAGGGTGTGGTTTCAAAAAACGACCCTAAAAGAGTAAACATATTCGTAATATACTGCATTGAAAGTAATGTTATATCGTTTGTGTAACACAAAACTTTTTGACGGCGGTCGATTTACACTCACACGTAATGCGAATATAATTATAAATAGATTATATATAGTGCTTCCCAGGGTCGAAACGATACGCCCATGTTTAATGGGCTCCAGTAACAAATGAAAAAAAAAACAAACTCATATATTTCGTGGAACAACTGATATTTAAAAATTGCAATACACAATAATTACTAAAAAATCCTGCACGGAGTTGAGTGAGTTTTATTTTTATGTTTATTAACAACTTTTACCAAAAATCTTGCTCAATCAAAATTTTCCAACGAGATATCATAATAATTGGGAACAACCGGAAAAAAATGTATAACAAAAACGAACAAATATTAATATTATTACATTAATAATAATATTATAATATTGCAATATTTAAATTGTTTCGATATTAACATGTAAAAATGTCTGTAATATACATTTTGATTTGCCCAGAATATAACATGTATAAATAGGAAAAAAGAAATATTAATTTAATTGGGATATCAAACAATGAGGCGAAGGCTGTATCTATACCGGGGAGAGGGGGAGAAGAGTTACAGAGATTTGGGTTCCTTCCCCCGAGAATTTTCAAAATTAGAACCGTGTATTTATATTTGTAGTACAAAATTATGAAGGTAGGTACCCACCATTATTTTTTATTAAAAATTAACTGCGGCCCCTTCCGATTTTTTTTTTCAGAATCCTGTATGAATATTTCTCATTTGTTTATAATAATGACCTTTACTGTCACTACATCTCGATTCTAAGGTCTGACGATATTTTTAAATATAACTATATATATTTACGATTGTTTTAGATTCTGAGCAAAACAAGGAATGCGCTGGTTTTACTGATTCGTCTTTTTCTGTGACATTAAACAACTTTTCCATCAGAGATATTACTTCAATCAAAAATTGTACAAGAAATTTCTTGTAGTTTTTTAATGAATAATAAAAAGTAGCAATTATTGTTTGGTTGATTACTGAGATTCCATAGCAATAAAGTAAAAAATTCGACTAATAATGATTTCGTTGGAAATAGTTTATCATTGCGTATAAACCTAAATTAATTGTTTTTGTATATTCTCCCTTCAAACGGCTCCTTTAAAAAAGTAGCTCATATATCAGTCGTATTATCCTGTTTTTATTTTTTATTAATTTGATTTTATTAAAATACGAATTGGGAGAGAGAGGAATTGCGGATTTAAAGATCTATCTTCGTTAAGTTCAACCATAAGAAGTAAATCCCCGTAGTCAGGAATTCGGAGTTCAATATTAAATCGATTTATTTTTTTTATTATTATTTTGTATAATAATGTTTGAATATAGCAATAGTATTGGATTACAGGTCCGAGGCCGGAAGTCCGAAACCCACGACCCCTAACGTCTGCAGTCGAGCTGAAAAACACACACACACATATATATATATATATATATATATTTGAAATAGATATTGGAAATAAGGGAGGTAAACTGCGTATTTTATTTTTACAAAAACGTAATATCACGTACAATCACGTAAGGCCTATCGCTTGATCCCACCCGGTCAATAAAAAACAGTTTGTAGAATGCGACATACGTGTCCGTCGGATCTGTGTACAAAAAAACCGTACAAAACATCTTTGTTTTTTTTTTTCTAAAAAATCGTTTTCGTATCCATCAACGTCGCTGTCAGACTTGTTATTAATTCCAAACGTCAATAAGCGTATGTTTGGTTGGCCTCACCACGAGTTTAAAAGAGTGAGGTTAACGAGGACAGCCCTTATGTATATATTATATTATTAGAATTTTGAGTATCAATATCGTAAAGAATTTTTGAAGTTTTGTTTAAATATTTTCATATGAAATTTATCGAAATTATAACAAAAAAGACGGATTACTTTGCACGATAGATGGTTTACTGTTGTAGGTGAGAATTTGGGAATGTAAAGGGAAATTTAATATATATCTGTACTCAACGGTTAATCATTGATATCGAAAAATGAGCGGAGTTCGGTTATACACGTTTTGAAAGGTTGTAATATGTACGATATTTGTCAACATTTAATATTGAAATTCTTATAAAAAAAATAATTCTATAATATACTTAAATTTTATTATAAAGTACGACTTATTATAAACCTTCTGTTAAATGTTCAGTCATTTCTATTTCGTATAACAATTTTATTCACAAAGTACCTACCGAGAATACAAAATACATTCAAAAAACATACAAAACTAAAAGGCCTATAAGTACACAAAAATAGCTCAAATGTTTTGAAAATTGTATAACGTCTAGGAAAGGCAAAATATATAAGTGTTTTGTCAAAATGTCAAGTCTTTACGGATATTTTTAAGTGAATCACACCAAAAAACAAAATTAAAATA